ACATGTTTTACGTGCATCATTTGTCTTTCTTCTGTGTAAAGAGCACACCTTTTGGATCCCTTTCATAGATAAAGACTATGGACCCATTAAAATTTCACGAAAAAAGTATCACTTGCAAATGTATATGACTCTCAGTGACTGTGCCTATCATTTATCAAAAATTATTCTTGTCCATTTAAAGATGTGCGAAATATTTCTTTTCTCGTGCTTCTTCTCGGTACACGCTCGTTTATGATATTTCAAAATTGATACGAGCCTGGATATTATGACCGCATTTGTCAAGTGAGTTTGATATTAAATCTCCAGATGGGGTCATATGTCTCTTACAAAAGCCGTTCTAAATCTTCGGTAGTGTAATTTAGTACCTGGCATAAATCAACCGGTAAACGGCGACGATTAATGGCTGTGTAACGCTTTTTTGAAGGCTTTTTTCTTTTGGTACGGTTTTAAATTTTTTGAACGATGGCTTTTTGGACACACACCCGAGGAAAGATTTCGGAATAAAATTACTGTCTCGGTTTTACCGATAAATCGTGCATGATTTATTTACCAAAACCTTACAAGAATTTTCATTGCGATTAAATAATTAACTATGGACATTCCTGACCACACAAGACCCTATTGCTAATAAGGCATAAGAAACTTAAAGTTAAGAAAAAGAAAACGAAGAGATACTCCATCCATCTAATCCTTCTCGACACGAGTCGTCCGATGGCGTCTACTCGGTTTTATCTGCCTTGGATAAAACAGTGACATCTGACGTCCATCACGTCCAATTAATCGGTTCTTGCACGTTGAAAAAAAAGTGTCGATACCTTAAAAACTTTAATCTGACCTGTCAATCTCGTTCTTCACATTTAAGCGACGACTCTGTGCAGGTAGAAAAGACTATCGGGGCTGTGTTTTAATTACTTTTTCCCAGGATCAAAACAATTTTAATGATGTCAACTGTCAAACACAACTTTTTTTTTAGTTCTTTCTCCAGTGATGGATGAGAGTTGTTTTTCGATTCAATAAGATTTTTTTCTTAAAAATAAATAAGCAATGAAATAATACCATCTATAAAATTCCGGTATATCCAACTATTTAAGTCTATCGATCAGACACAGAGCAAGCAGGTCGCGTAGTCTGTCACCTGGATATTAAGTTGATTGATGGCCAGGTATCAATCAATCGTTTTATTGATGAAATTTCACGAAAAGTGACTGGCAGTCCGTAGCAGCATTTGGAAACTAATAATATGTACATACATTTTACGAAAATTGTCCATCAATCATTTGTGACATTGTCGAATGGAAATATAGCGTTATTTTTGAGCCAAAAATAGACTTTTTGATGGACATTTAATTTATGGTAAGTATACAAACATTCTACCTTTTACTGCAGGTGATCTCTTTATCTTGAGATAAATGCGGCAACAAGGCCCTTCTTCTCCTTCTCTTCACCAATCGCAGTCTCTTCTTTCGTTATTATCCGGCGCTTCTCGTCGCATTGTTCTCCAACAAAATCAACCCCAAGCCAATTGTTAACCTCTCCCGCTGTTTGATGTGTCGAAGGTACCCCAGAGACCCCGATACAGGGTTAACTTGATCGGGAGAGCACGGGATAATTTTCACCGGCACAGGGTTAATCGTATTTTTCGGGGGTGGTAGGTTTTTCGTCAGCCTGTCTTTTGATGTTACCTTGTTTCCTGCTCTCCCTTTTGCTTTGAAGGTTTAATTTGATCCTTTCATCAAATAAATATTTTATGACTAGAAATTATTGACAAAAATAGGAAGGTATGTTTTGTCCGGAAAAAAAAATCGATTCATCTCTATCCACCCACATGTCAATCTTTAATCCATTACCCATTTATTGAGACAAAAGGATGTGAGCAGTTTCTCAAATTGAAATTTTACATATTTATTTATTTATTATGTAAAAATCACAAGTATGCGGTCATTGTTTATTCATTAACGTTTCACTTTTCAAGTTAGGAATAATAAAAATCGTATTTCCATAATTTCGGTTTATGACGGCTGATGTTGAAATCGATTCTGGGAATTTGATTGAATTCTATCGGAAATATTTCGCAAAAAATTATGTCTGTCAAAATTCTCTTTCAATAATAAATCTACTAGAGAAACTGAATCCTTAAAATCTTAACTCCTAAAACAAAAGCATTTCGATGTGACAAGATCCAGACATGTATTGGCCTAAACGTTGAAGTTTTAAGCAGCTCATTGCATATGCAATGGTCCTTCGTGAAACGGACACGAGACCAACTCTGGAATTTTTAGAAGATTTTTCTTGTCAGTTGTCAGTTTGTGTGACTATGGAATAAATTCCAAAAGCTTTTTGTTCGAAGATAAAATGTACTTTCAGCCTTATCCTATATTTGCATTCACAGTAAATAGAAAGTATTATTAAATACACAATTACAACACATATCATATTTCACTGCTCTAATCCTTTCGTGGTTGTATGCCCAAATCAAAAACGCCGAAAATAATAATTAACTTGTGAACCATACCGTCAACGAATCTTGTTTATGAAAAACAAATATTTAATCGGCCCCAGAGAGCAGTCCTCACTCTTTGAGAAGTTTTATTTTGTTCGGTCGCGACTATTAAACAACGAAACATTTAAATATTTGCCGCCAGAACTGTCGCTGACAATAAATCTTTCAGAATGATTCTGCAAATATTTTATTGAGTTAATATATGATTGATTAAAGTTCGTAATTTTTTTTAACGTTATTTCCTATGGCAAAAAATCTACCTGTCTACACCCAGCCACAATATCAAATCTCCAAAGTAAGTTTATCAAAAGGGAAGTTATTTAAGCTCGATTTTTATACTGGAGCGACTGGTAGAATCCCTTAGCGGCCGAACAAATGGCTCAGTGTCAAAAGGGTCGGCACGCGCCGCCACAATGCAGCCGCCTCTTCTTCTTTTATTATAAAAGGAAGGAACGAATTCCTTGTCCTGATTTTCTTTGGGTTTATTTTTCTCTCATTTGCTATGTTGCCAGCAATTTAGTTTCTAATCATCATTAAATGCTTCCTTTGCAAATAATCTACCTATATTAATTAGACATAAGTCCGGTCCATTGAGTTTTTTGTTTTTGCAAATTACTATAGAAATCCTTTTAGTGTAAATTAAGATTCGATATTAAGTTGTCCGATTCAGTAAGACCATTTTTGCTATTTCTCTTGCCATCAGGCTCTCCTCTATGGAAGTAAGTTTATTATTTTTCTTTCCCCAACTGACAGATGAGGCTATCATTTACCGCCTGCCACTCACCTTCCACCGCTGAGAGTATTAATATCGTCCAGGAGATTGATAACTGGCAATAGAGCTAACGCTAACACGAATTGCGAGTATTTTTCGAAAAGAATCATGATTCTTTTTGACATTTCGAATGCTCCTTTTATTCATATAAATATTTTTCTCTGATAAGAGTTAACTCAACTACAAGAATGTTTTCTTGGTGAATATTTTAAGAATCCTTCACTATCACAACTAGTTCAAGCAACAAATTAATTCAAGTGCATCAGATGCTTAAATGCAATAAACATACCAAGAAAACTGGACATGCCCATATAAGAGGAAACATCATAGTGTTGAAAACAAATGACTACAACATGCTCAACTGATCATCAGCGAAATTATTATAAGAATACATTTAATTAACTAGGAATATAATAATTTTCATTTAATAGTAATTATTCGAGATGTTGATCATATGTTTAATTTAATTGACATTCGCAAGAGCTCAAAATTCTTGACTTTGAAATAGAACAGATCTTTTGTCTACCTGGTGTTTACTCATTTCAAAATGAAAACGGCATCAAAGACAGAATATCTGCTTCACGAGGAGCCCTATTGTCCAAGTAAATAATTGGTACTACGGTGGCTCATTTTCATTTCATCGAATTGTAACAATTTTCTCTCAAATTTCATTCATATTTGAAACCGTATACCTGAAAGACAGACTTTTTCAATATTCGTATTGGCATATTAATGAACTGTTTTACTTAATTTAAAAGGTTCATTACCAGGGTATTTTACGAATGCGTTGGATCAAGGGCTAAACTTTTTTGGCAATATACATATACTTACTTGGATTATAGGTTTAAGTGATATACATATATCGGTTGAAATATTAGTTCTACACAAAGTTGTATGTGTTTTTAGTGGTCCTGCATTATCTAATTACACTTTTCTCCAATTTTCCAATTTTCTGCAGGTCGAAAGTTATACATTTGTTAAGTCAGTTGTTCGACCGCCAAGTGATGAATTATTACAATTTGTGGAGAAACTTACAAATTATTGTGTGATATCCTAATATCGGACATTTTGCTTAAATTGTTTTTGAAACAAGAACACACTGAACCTACGCACACTAGTCTCCCACGCAAAATAAAACATTACAAAATTATACAAAACGCTGTCTATCAGGATTCAAAATAATTTTCACGATTAAAAATTAGAAAACACCAAGAGCCGTTATCATCATAAATTAAGGATTAAAGTCAAGTAGATGTTTTGTTGCTTCTTGCTTCCACTAGTCCAAAATAAATCGCCTAACTAATGAGTTTTCGGATTAAAGGTTTTAATGATGATGATATTTGAGAGTTATTGGATAATATTCAAATTTCTTGGTAGTTAGTTATTGGGTATCTGTGGGATAGCTTGAGCAAATAGAATCCATCAACTGTTTTTTTTTGTTTTTTTTTCAAGTTGTACAGGAGCTGATTGGGCAAATGTTCCTTGGTTTCCTCAATTATTACGATAATATTTTGTGCCTTAATGTAGGTACCTACTTCGGTCAAAAACTGGGACACCTGTATAAATCTCATATATTTAATATCTTTTTTCTGACCCAAACTAACCTAAGACCCAAAAATATCAAGCAAATATATAGTGATAGGCTTATTTTCAAACAGGTCTCCCAATTTTTTTTTTTGCCGGTCAGTTGATGCTGATAAAAAGTTATCCTAAACTCTCAATATTTACCTAAAGCAGTATGAATTTTTCTTATCAACAAATTGACTGGCACACTTTTGCTTCTCATTTTTCACGTTTTCAACTAGTTTTTCATGGATACATTGAAGCAGTTCAGTTTTCCATCAAAACAAAAAAAAAACTAAACAAAAACCTTCATCATCGATATTATATCCATCAATTACACTTTGTCCGGAAAAAGTTGCACTAACTTCACAAAAATTCAGTCCTTTTTCTTATGTTTTTAGCGTAAAAACTGACTACTTAGTGATTGCTAAAATTCTGAAACTATTCTCGTCAACAATAAAAGCCGAACGTTTCCGATTGTCGTTGTTCGACGCCGTATAGTGGCAGAGGATCCTCTCCCATCGAGAGCTAACTTCGAACTGTTCTGTTTACATCGCGCGCGAGAGATGCCCTTTCCGCGGGTATTTTGGACTAGTAGTAGAAAAAGGGCTGGTGGGGGGAGCCCTTTGAAAAGTCAGGTTGTGAGTGGTTGTGACAGGGATGCCTCTCCCGCCCCTACCTCTCTGGAACTTGTCAAGATTTAGAGATGGACATCCGTGCGTGTCACAGCAGAATAGTATAGTTAGTAGCAGGTTGATCTCTTCTCTTTTGATGTGTCTGCATGTGGCATGCGGGCTTCCTGTTTTTGATCAGGAATTTATTAAGAGAAGGGAATAATTTGGATTTGTTTCTTTGATGCTCGATTGGTGGTTATAGGGAAAATCGAAATAAAATAGAGGTCTATTGAGATTGGGACAGCATAAACATAAAACCAGTTTAGTTGAAATAGAACATAAATACAATCCCCGAAAGAATGAAATAGCCTACAAAGTCTCAAAACTCGACAAAACAGTGACCCAGAGAAGCTATTATTATTTGGGTCTAAACCCTAATTGCTAGTACCAAACTAGTAACTAGCCTTACAGAACATATTTCAGAATTGAATACATACATTAAAAAAATTTAAACAAAAAATTAAAGAATGTGTAATTACCCAAAAAAATTATACATAGCTCGATATATATTAAGAATTTTGACGTGTAAATTATGATTAAAATCTATATCAGTGAGGACTTAATTAGAGAATACAAGAGAAAGGAATAAAAACAAAAGAAAATAAAATAATCCAAATTATGTCAAGTCCTCAATTATGATTTTTTTTCCTGATTATGACAACATTCCAGAAATAGACTTTGTTACCTGATTTTGACACAATATAAAATTTATTAAGAAATTGTAGCAATGTGTTTGTTTGTGCTGGGTAAAAGTAAGGAAGCCAGGGTTTTCAAAAAAGATTGTGCCAGACTTACGGAGTTTATAGGGGACATTGTAGTGGATTTTTTTTGCAGACACACCCCTTGTCAAAAATGAGTGGTTTGGGCTCCAAAATCAAATCAGTTAGGTACAAACTGGCACCGAGGCCTTAATGATAAATATTATAAACAGATTACAGAAAAATATAAATAATAAGAACATAATATAATATGTACCTACTTCAAACATATTTCACATATTATTCAACATGTCTTCCAAAAAGTGTTTGAGATTATGCAGCACTTTTTTCTCCGTTCGGATGAAAATAGCTTCTGGTATTGTATATGTTTGAACACTTCTATATATTGGGGAATCTTGGGACTTTTTTGTTCTGAAATAGTAATTCCTTAATTTATTTGTTCTTATGTTATAATTGTGGAAATCTTTGTTTTGTTTGAGCATTACCTACGTCAGTTTTTAATAAATTGTTCTTTATTTTCAGATAAGTTTCGCCTTCAAGAATGGATAGTCTTTATATAAAGAGCTTCACTTGGGGTTTTATACCTTAGGCAAAATATTGCTTTTATTGACTTGTTTTGTTGTCTTTGAATTTTATTTAAGTCACTCACATTGGCATTTCCATAGCAGGGTAGAAAGTATCTAATATGTGTATGTGGTTCAATAAAGCTGTTATACCGGGTGACAACGAAATCGTTATACAAGGCGTCATTCAGTTGTCTTTGAAGTAAAAAATTTGAAAATCGGGTAAGTAACTAGGGCTTCGCGAGACCACAAGACTAGTCTTGGTCTTGTCTTGGTCTTGGTAGCAAGACCAAGACCAAGACCGAGACCAAGACCTGATAAATCTTCTCAACACCAAGACCAAGACTTGACGTTCAAGACCAAGACCAAGACCAAGACTCTCTCTCACGACTCTCGTCTTGGTCTTGGTCTTGAAAAGAAAAATCGACTCAATATTTATAAAAATATGCAAATTCCTATACACTGAGAAAAGTCCCAGGAGAAAATTCTTTGCTGGTTTTTTTTTAGCTGTTACAGTGGAAAATGTTTTAGAGGTAGCAATGTTATTTTGCTTCTACAGAAAAGACCACTTTGCTGAAACTACTTTATTGAAACTGCAAAGATATTTCTTATTCCAAAACCAAACTTTGCTGTTATAGCAAAATTAAAATTTTATGAAAATATTTCTGCTTCTCCGGAATAGAACTTTTCTAAGATAGATAGATACTTTACTGTTGCAGCAAAAAAAAATTCCTATAATTTTTGTTATTGTTACAGTAATGTTTTTTGCTACCCTAGCCAAATAACTTAACTAAAAATACCGTTCGGACATTTCCGTGATTTCTTCGGTTCCAAAAATAATCGATAAAATATGTTTCGTGTTCATTTTCTTCCATTTTAGTTTAGTAGCTAACGCCGTACGGTGTGGATCGTGGATGCTGTCGAGTCAAGTCGAGTGTCGGTCGCTGGGAATCTTTTTGGAAATGGTGCCAGCGCATCCATCAAAACTAGCAGAAACAACTCTAGCGCCAAACTTTTCATTAATTGACATTATTTCAGATCAGTTAATGAAAGTTTAGGGGTTTAAATAGAGTTTGTTTATCTCCTGGTTTTGTTATGATGGACGCGCTACTACATATTTCCAAAGATTTCCAGCAAAATATTTTTGCTATTGGTGAGACAAATAACTTTCCATGGCTAATAAAACACTTGGCTGATTCTGGCAAGAATTTTTTTGTTCTGAGACAAACGCTTTCCTATTTTAGGAATAACAACAACAAATATATTTTCTGTCTTAGCAATCTACTTTTCAATAGCAAAAAAGGATGTTGTTGAGGGTATATAACCTCTTTTCTAGGACAGCATAGTTACTTTCCTACGACAGCAAAGTAGCTTTTCTATGCCAGCAAAGTGACCTTGTAGAAACTGTGAGTAAATTCTTTATAAAGTCACTTTGCTACCGCAAATAAACGGTGCCAGTAAAGTTATCTTTTCGGCGGTAGTAAAGATCTTGGCTGTCCCCTATGTAGCCAAAATTTTTGGCTACGGCAGCAGCAAATTAGCTATGACAATGAAAAAATTTTCTCGGTGTATCTTCTCTTAATGTCTTTTAATTAAATCAAGTAATCAAATTTATTATTTTTTGAAATTCAGGAGAAGGTATTATAGGTTTTAAAAATACATACATACAACATAGTGTAGGTAACATTCATTTACACAGAACACATCGATATTTTCCTATCCCTACATAATACAATAGTACCTAAGTATTGGAATTTCCAAAGATAATTCTTAACTAACTAACTAACACAAACCCCACATCTGACCCAAACTAACCCAAATCTAATTATTGTGAATAGGCCAATAAAATTCAAATGAGGTATGTGACTATGTGAGGGTTCTCGAAAACCTTTCTCTGGCCTGAATGCTCTTGAAACATCAAGACCAAGACCAATACCAAGACCGCAATTTATTTTTCGAGACCAAGACCAAGACTGGCCAGTCTTGGTCTTGGTCTTGGTCTTGCGAAGCCCTATAAGTAACTGAGACGCACATTTTTCGTAAAAGAAAAACAATTGAATATCACTTCCGGTTACTCCAGAAATGGACCCAAGTCAAGATTTTTTTATAAATGCTTACATATTTTTTTTACACAGTTGGATAGAGCTTTAAATTCCTTTTCCAATGACATATCACAAGTTGCATTTGTTTTCAAGATGGCGGCGTAAGAAGTTACTTTCTTAAATTCAATATGGCGGCATTCTGACATAACCGATAAATGAATATGCATTTTGGTAAACAATTTTCGGTAGGCCATTGGACACACTTTTATTCTAGGATTTAATAAGTACCTCTTCCTATTCAAAATTTTTAGAAAATTTGAAACAAAAATTTGCATTTCAAAGAAATTTTAAAATGCCCTTGTTTTTGAGCAAAACCATTTTTTTATATATATATATATATATATATATATGTTACTGTAAATGCCCGAAATTCGGTAAAACCTAGGATAAGCGCGCTAAACCTAGGATTTACCAAAAGCAAGTGGTAAAAGCCCGAAAACTAGTTATTTTGCTTCCATTTCGGACTTTTACCGGACACAAAGAGTAAATCTTAGGATTTACCACACCGCATTGGTAAAAGTACGAATACCACTGATACGTTACAAAAATCGATATCGTGAATAGATAATCGTTACAATTTCAATGCCTAAAAATAGGATACTTTATAAATGAAACAAAAAGTCACACCAAAACACTTTTTATTTTAATATTTTTTAACACGTTGACTGCCGATCACTCCGATCGGAGTTTACTGGCACCTATCGGCGACGCCAACTACTCCGATCGGCGTATTGTACGTGCTCAATTTGTGAGTCTATATTCAGTAGGCGTTGGCGAGAGAATCGCAGTCGCTCCGGCGTCCTTCTAAATGCATTTTTCCAGCACGTGTTTAAGTTGGTTACGCGTTTTTTATTTTTTGTGTCGCTAAACATGGATACCAAACAAAACGAATAAAACAACGGCGTCTTAGAATGCCTCAAAAAATATGGTCGGCAGTCAACGTGTTAATGTAAACAGAAATCATAGTGGCCTTAAACAAGATATTAAAAAAAAAAAAACATTAATTCAGGTACTAATATTGCAAAAAATAGGTATAGTATTTCCAAACTCAATTTGAACAAGGTACCAACTGGTAGCTGACTGGTCACTGAAAATTTCCAGTAGTAAACTAGTGCATAAAATATTTCCGGAAATTTTCGAAAATTTTGTCTGAAGCCAATTTTTAAACAAAATTATGAGTGCATAGCGCCTGAAAAAATCCCGAGCCCCAAGGGTGAGGGATTTTTTCTTCGGCCGAATGGTTTTGCTCAAAAAAATTGGCTAAAGACGAAATTTTTAAAAATTTCCCTTAGGAAATATTTTATGCACGTGTTATATTTTGATAGGAAATTTCCCGAGTTTAAAATTTATTTACTACGTTGTGTCGAATTTTTTTATTGATGCTGATTGTTATTGATCTTTCCCATTTAAATTGCGTTTGTCAAAAATAATATACACTTTGACAGATTTCTGACATCAATGCGTTTTAAATGGAAAAGCGGGCATC